ATTTTATCCTAATTGAGTGACCTATACTATTGTCTTTGTGTCAGACTAGCTTAACTTTTGTAGATATTAACACGTTGCCAGTGACTCGGATTGAGGAATCGGAGAGCCGAGTTCGAATTTTAGTCGGATCCATTACATTCACTTACGTGCTAATAACCTTGGGAAAAGATATGAATCCTCTTCTTCTTCTTCTTCTTCTTCTTCTTCTTCAAGCCATGTCCCCTTCTTCGACCAGCTATGCATAAATAGCGGGACAGACTGGGTTTTATAACCTTGGATAGCAACCGATCTAGGAGAAGGAAAACTCTGAAAAGGGTTGGGCTCCGTCTGATTATCTTGCCCAAGAAACACCACTTCTACTGTGATACACATGGTGCCCTTACGATCCTAAGGGTCACGGGATAATAAAAATAGAGCAAGTGTTATCACATTGGTATCGGAGAGTCGTAATTCTATTGTAAGCTCTCTCGTAATTGCTTGACTTACACATGGATCCTTGTGTCCGACTAAACTAAGTTCGTCCACAACTACAAAAAAAATCGTTGATCATTTTTATTCATACCGATTCTGTGACAATTTTCAGAAATTCTACAAATTAATTCTGTCATCATTACGAATTCAGGTAATCACGTTTCAAGACAGCGATCAAATTTGGACAAGCCGGTAATGTTCGAATTGTCGCCTGTTGAAGGAACGGCAGACATTTTTTTTTTTTTTTTTAGAAAAAGGTTTCCAAACAGTGTAAATGTGAAAATTAATTCCTCCTTCCCCAACACAAAAAAAAAAAAAAAAAAAATGAGGGAAACACCCATTGCGTGAAGCGCTTTACAAAGATTTGTTGTCCCCTGTTTAATTTTTTTTTTGGTTTATTTTTGTTTTTAATTAATTTGTTTTTCACACTGTGGTTTTAAGAGGGGTTTTGTGCGTTGCATCAGCGCCATTGGATTGCCAAGTGATTTTCACAAAGATGACAAGAGACAGAACGAATACTTGTGAATTAATAAATCAATAAACCTGGAAGTGAAAGAATAAAATCGAAACTTTTCATTATCGTTAATCCGCGTAGCTGCATGCAAATGAATATGCCATTAAGGATTAGAAACTTTAAGGATAATATTAAACCAAAAAATATATATACATGTTTGCCACTTTGAGAAGTAGAAGTTGGCAATATAAAATGGAAACAGAAAAATAACGTAGTGAAAGAAAAGAAAATTGGACAGAAAAAAAGACAAGTAAAATTCGATCTTTGGATTTTATATCCTGCAAATATTTCGACGCTATTTTCCATGATAATTCAGTGTATTTTTCCTATTGATTGATTAATTGATTAGTTTTCTACGGCTTATAAAACCGTTGCAGGTTATTTAAAGCCTGAAAATATTTTTTTTAGATTATAAGAATAAATTTTGGCGATAATAAGGATTTACAAGTCTTACTAATTTCTTCTTTTAATTTTTTCTGCTTAATCAGTAGATTAATTGATTGATTCATTTTCTACGGCTTATCAACCCTTTGCAGGTTATTTAAAGCCAGAAAATATTTTTAGATTGTAAGAATATATTTTGGTGATAATAATGGTTTACAAGTCTTACTAATTTCTTCTTTTAATTTCTTCTGCTTAATCAGTAGATTGATTGATTGATTCTTTTTCTACGGCTTATCAACCCTTTGCAGGTTATTTAAAGCCAGAAAGTATTTTTAGATTGTAAGAATATATTTTGTCGATGATAATGGTTTACAAGTCTTACTAATTTCTTCTTTTAATTTCCTCTGCTTAATCAGTAGATTGATTGATTGATTCGTTTTCTACGGCTTATCAACCCTTTGCAGGTTATTTAAAGCCAGAATATGTTTTAAGATTTTAGGATTTTTTTTTGTTGTTTTCTGAGCATAATAATGATTTAGCTATAGAAGTTTTACTAATTAACCCATAGCTCGACAAAAAAGAGGGGAATCCATGCATCTACTAAAGTTATTTGCCCGTGGGAGTATAACGAACCCAGCTGAAATTAGAACTCGTCTCTCCGATTATCAATTAGGAACCATTATCCATTGCACCATCCGCACATTCAAGCTTACAGCATCTGGTATTCCCAAGTTACTGGCCAGTTGCTCAACTACGGTGATCGTGCGGGAACCAATGTTTCACCGTGATATGGCCGTAAGCTCTATATTTTGTATAATTTCGATCTTCTGATAAATATCTTTTCACCGGTAAACTATCCAATAAATACAAAGTTCTTAGTAAAAAATTAGAAGAAAACAAGAGAAAAAGAACAACTACGAAAAGAAGATTAAAGTTGTAGTGAAACGCTGAAATATTTCATAACCGATCCTGTATAAAACGTATAGTGGAACATATGAGTTCCCCTTGAGGCCTGGAGTGGGCTTGTGTCCCAAAATACGATCGAACCACGGAGCTTAATTGTGAGTATAACCATTTATCAGAACTGGAGTAAATTTAGACTGTTTCGTGATATATTGACGACACTGAATTGGCCCAACTGCGTCATGATGACTTACCAAAGCATATCCTGATTAGAGAACAGATGATTTTCTGAAGTTCTGTCACGATTGCAGAACTGTGTTGAATCCTAAAATAGATGAAGTTATGGTGCTTATATACAAGATATTACACCAAAATGCAAATCCTCTCCGGTGTTTTAAGTAGGAATTTTAAATTAGGTTTATACCAGGTTTTATTTTTATGGATTGGGTTTCCGGATCTTTCTATAATCTACTTCAAATTGATACTTCTAACGTTTCTAACGTTTAATTTTACTTTTTATTCAATAGGAGTAAATGAGTTCGCGAAAGGGTTGGAAATTAAATCATCACCCAAAAGCCCGCAAAAACGCTTTTCAACTTTTTCAAGGGTGTAAAGTTTATATGAGGCAGATCCAGCCTACATATGTCAGCAATACGCCATTTTGTAAGGTCTGGCTCTGGTAAAGATGTTGTATGATATAATGAAGCGATTATATTTCCAGCATTTTTAGTAATGGATCGTATAGACGAGTTCCACTTGAGGTCTGGGATGAGCTTGATTTCAGATAGATGTTCCAGGTAAGGGCCCTCATTGATAATGCAACCGTTTAACAGGATTACAGAAAATTTTGGTTCTGCTCGGGAATGGCTCGTTAATAGCTTGGCTTGGGGATTATTGAGTGTTACAAACCAATCTTTTCCCAATCTGTGTTATACACTAGTTAATGAAGAACAAAAAAAAAGCAACCACCAAGTATTACTACTCAATGAACTCTATCAAAATAGAATACGTTCAACAATTCAGCTATTACCGGTGAAGTTGGACATTAGACAATGTTACCAGAAAGTATTTAAACTTTGTTTTTGGAGGTAATGAATGTTACAAGCCAATCTTTCTCCAATCTGTGTTAGACATCAGTTAAGGAAGAAAAAAAACAACACCCAAGTATCGCTTCTTATTCCTTAGGACAGGATTTAGTTGATAAGCATTATGTTTAAGTATCGTCTGCTCCCTTGGAATTCGATAGTTTATTCCCTTAGGAAAGAAATGTTGCAATATACAGTGTGAAATCTAAAAGTGGAATGGATGGATTCTGAACAATTCTCGAACTCTATCAAAATAATAGGATTAGACAAAATAAGTTAAACAATTCAACGATTTAACGCTTTTATTCTCTTTTAGACATGTCTGATTAAATAAGTTATAAACATTATGTCTGCTTATTTTTAGCATAATCCGTTTATATTCACGGATATTTTTCCGTGTATTATTGCTTAAATGTTATTTTTAACACTTTTATTCTCTTTTAGACATGTCTGATTAAATAAGTTATAAACATTATGTCTGCTTATTTTTAGCATAATCCGTTTATATTCACGGATATTTTTCCGTGTATTATTTTTAATGTTATTTTTTAACACTTTTATTCTCTTTTAGACATGTCTGATTAAATAAGTTATAAACATTATGTCTGCTTATTTTTTAGCATAATCCGTTTATATTCACGGATATTTTCCGTGTATTATTGTTTAATGTTATTTTTTAACACTTTTATTCTCTTTTAGACATGTCTGATTAAATAAGTTATAAACATTATGTCTGCTTATTTTTAGCATAATCCGTTTATATTCACGGATATTTTTCCGTGTATTATTCTTAAATGTTATTTTTAACACTTTTATTCTCTTTTAGACATGTCTGATTAAATAAGTTATAAACATAATGTCTGCTTATTTTTAGTATAATCCGTTTATATTCACGGATATTTTTCCGTGTATTACAATCAAATGATGAAAAAAATGCTCTGTAACAATGAAAATCATTTTTAATTCCCAAGTATTTTCCATCTCCTTCTGAAATCATTATCAGGGGTGCAACTGGTAAGGGAAAAACTATGTCTAGCTACCCATTACTGATTTTTTTTTCTTTTTGCTTTACTATTTGCAAAACGTTGTTTATTGAGCTTCGGCACCACGTGACCATCGAATCAGCCACGTGACCATCGAATCAGCCATGTGACCATCGAATCAGACACATATGTCTGCACTTCTCCGCTCCAGGTTTGCTTTTCCGCGATTTCTCGTATTACCAAAACCTAATTAACAAATATCTGAGATATTCTTCTCCATCTTTTGTACTTTCTCCAGTGTTTCTTGTCACACCATACCGTCATTTGCATAGATCGATTCGATGCACTAGATATGTTCTTTCTTTTTGAAATTTTATAATTTTTCCCACTCCTATTCGTTATGCAAATGGTGTGGTGTCTGTAATAATTCAATCAAACATTGGTCAATCGAGTAGATAGCTTTGAACTCTTTTCAATCGGCGAGAAATATGCATATTCGCCAGCAGTAATTGTGCACTTCCCTGACGTTCACATTTGCCAAGGGGAGCGATTTTACATGTGCGCATGCGCCGCTTATCAAAAATGGCGTTTTCGCTTTGAATAGAAATAATCTATTTGGAAGACCAAAAAAAGAAAAGCAATAATAATTTTTATTATGGTCTAAAATTGAAAAAAGAAGGAAGGAAGGAAGGAAGGAAGGAGCGAGGAAGGAGCAAGGAAGGAAGGAAGGAAGGAAGGAAGAAGGAAAGGAAGGAAGGAAGGAAGGAAGGAAGGAAGGAAGGAAAGGAAGGAGCAAGGAAGGAAGGAAGGAGCGAGGAAAGAAGGAAAGGAAGGAAGGAAGCTAGGAAGGAAGAAAAGGAAGGAGCAAGGAAGGGAGGAAAGGAAAGAAGGAAGCGAGGAAGGAAGGGAAGGAAGGGCAAGTAAGGAAGGATCGAGGAAGGAAGGAAGGAAGGAAGGAAGGAAGGAAGCAAGGAGCGAGGAAAGAAGGAAAGGAAAGAAGGAAGCGAGGAAGGAAGGGAAGGAAGGAGCAAGTAAGGAAGGAAGGAAGGAAGGAAGGAAGAAAAGGAGGAGGGTGGGAGGAAAGATGGAAGGAATGGAGGGAGAGAGAAATAGAAGAAGGAAGGAAGGAAGTAAAGGAGGAAAAAAGGAAGGAAGGAAGGAGGGAGACAGGGAAGAATTAAGGGAGTGAGGAAGGAAGTAAAGGAAGGAAGGGCAGAAAGGAAGAAGGAAGGAAGAAAGGAAGGAAGGAAAGAAGGAGGGAGGGGGGAAAGATGGAAGAAAAGAAGGAAAGGAGGAATGAAGGAAGTAAAGGAGGAAGCACGGAATGAAGTCAAGGAGGAAAAAAGGAACGAAGGAAAGAGGGAGGGAGGGAGGGAGGTAGGCAGGAAAGAAGGAAAGAAGTAAAGGAGTAAGGAAGGAAGGAAGGAAGGACGCAAAGGAGGAAGGAAGGAAATGGGAGACTAAAAATATGAAATATATAAAAAAAGAAAATAACAAAGATAATAGGAAAACAATAGATAAAATACACATAAAAATGACTGAACAAAGACGTGATTAACGATAAAAATACTTAAACATAGAAATTAAATACACAAACGATATATAAAAAGAAAATAAGCAAGTAAAACCCACAGAAAAAGAAATAAAGAGAATTTTAAAAAAGCGATGGAAAGAATTAACCAAATTAAGTTTGAAAAAGAATGAACGAAACAAACAAAAATAATATAAGAAAAGAATAAAATGGAAAAATATATATATATATATATATATATATATATATAATAGACAGGACTCTCCCTCGTTTTCAGCATATGAGTGTCAAGTCGCTGAGTTCTTAGAACCAACAACCAAACTACCCTCATATATCATTTGATTATAGTGGTGAAAGCTTGTGTAGAAGCGACCATCCACCAGAACTGGTGCTCAATATACCACATGGTCCCCAAACGAAACTACGTTTTTAATTCAGAGTTGCCCTTCTCCTAGACCGATTTCCAACCAAGTCTATAGGACCCAGTCTGTCCTGACACTTACACATAGCAGAGGATGGCGATATATATAAATATATATATATATATATATATATATATATATATATATATATATATATATATATATATATATATATATATATATATTATTAAAGACATTTTATGTTTAACGTTCTTTTTATAGATACAAATATTTAAGTAAATGCTCTGTAAACAGTATTAAATAACATTTACCGGCCTGAATGTCCGAGAAATTTATTATAAAAAGAACGTTAAACATAAAAATGTCTTTAATAAATAAATTGTCGGACTTTGTCCATTTCTTAATATATGACGTCATTTGTTTACATTTGATACGTCTGTAAGAGATTCATGGAAGATTGAAGTTTATAGTATTAAATTCAACCTTGCCGACAATCCTTTGTGGCCGAGCGGTCAAGGCACGTCAGCGTAAATGACGGTTCCGTATAGGATGCAGGTTCGAATCCTGTCAAAGGACGAATATTTTCTATGAAAATTTCTCGGACATTCAGGCCGGTAAATGTTATTTAATACTGTTTATTATAAACAGAGCATTTACTTAAATACTTGTATCTATAAAAAAGAACGTTAAACATAAAAATGTCTTTAATAAATAAATTGTCGGACTTTGTCCATTTCTTAATATATATATATATATATATATGTATAGGATTGGTGTATACGGAATAAATTCCAATAACCAACAAATACTATTCTTAAAAGAGTGCTCAATATAGAGTAGAGCAAATATAATTATTTATTCAAAAATTATAACCTAAAATAACATAATGTGGAATGACCAATCAAAATACAAGTATATGAGAATTCAAAAAACTTGACATCGAACTTTGGTTATATTAACTATTTAATGATTTAATGTTAGGGTTGAATTAAAACAGAATTCATTCTAACTAATTAATATTAAATTATACTATAAAATTCAAAATTACCAATTTTAAATTTAATCTATATTAAGTTTAAAATTATAAAATTATTTGCAGACGAAACTGAGGAAAAATTCCCGCTTATGTAACAGCGTTTCCCCTACTGAGGTTTGTTTGATTGATTTGAACGTTTTAAAACCCTTTATTCTACATTCAACACCAGAAGTGTTGAAACAAAATGGCTATTTTTGTAGTGGTTTTATAAAATATTTTATGTTATAATTTTCGAATAAATAATTTTATATATATTTATATATGTATGTATGTATGTATGTATGTATGTATGTATGTACAAATACACACACAGACATCTACAGACCTGAATATTTCGAGAACTTGTTAGAACAAATAATTATACATCCTCTGAAGCTGCGTCCCTAAAGGAAACCTTCATTAGATCTGACGTGCTTTAGACCAACTCGGCCACGTAAGATCTCCTGATCAATGGCCGAATAGTGCTTTTTGAACACATATTATAGTCAGACGATTTATCGAAATATTCAGACCGGTTGGTGTAAATAATTTAATACAGTGGAACCTCAAGTCACGAACGCCTATCATGACGAACCATTTGGTTCACGAACAGATTATCCGAACAAAAAAACGTCTTGGGTGACGGACGGTGTCTAGAGCGACGAACAAGAAAGCCGGCGACAACGAGAAGAAGATGGGAAGTGAGGGTGTTCCTAGTTCTTTAGCCCGCAAAATTTGTGCAAAATACGGGCGAGGTGCAAAGTTTCGGGGGAGGATGTCACCCTGATAAAATAGCATCAACCATGCGGTGTAAATATTTCGAATGGCAAGCTCATATCTCACTTTAGAAACATTTTAAACCGGAGACAGAAACAAATCCCATTGGACAATTTTTTTTTTCATTGACATAGAGGGCCAATGATTCTGACGCAGAGTCTAGTGGTCATAAGGGACAGAAAAACGGAAGCAGAAAACCCCAGAGAGACAGTTACTTGATGTTCTTTTTATGGAATATGACTCCCACCTTCCAAACGATAACATCTCTCCCCTTCCCGTTCCTCACCACCTCCCCTTTACGCTATCAACTCCTCTCTATGCAGGTACGGTAAAATTAAATTAATTAAGATTATATTTTATCAGTTTATTATTAGGTACATTTTTGTGTGTGTGTGTGTGTGTGTGTGCGTGTGTGTGTGTGTGTGTGTGTGTGTTAGATCTAATGGCTTTGTGTATGAACTTTGGTACACAGTACTTTTGTAAAAGTTTAAATAAGCAATCATCATGCGTCCAAGAACGAATTAATCTATTTTACATTGTTTTCTATGGAGAAAGTTGTTTCGATTTACGAAGATTTCGGGTTACAAACAGGCTTCAGGAACGAATTAAATACGTGAACCAAGGTCACATTGTATATTATTTAATATATATATATATATATATATATATATATATATATATATATATGTTGTGTGTGTGTGTGTGTGTGTGTGTGTGTGTATGCGAATGTCTGCGTGTACATGTGTGTATATAGTGTATTCGTGTGTATGCGCACGAGCGTGTGTGTAGAGGGAAAAGGTGAAAGAAAGAAAGAAAGAAAGAAAGAAAGAAAGAAAGAAAGAAAGAAAGAAAAACAGAAAGTAAGAGAAGGAAAATGCAAAAAAGAAACATTAAAAAGTAAAAAGAAATAAATAAATAAAAAGGAAGAAGAAAAAAACAATTAGGTTCCTATTCTTTTCTTTCTGGAAAGAGTTGGAAGGTCTTTAAGAAATTTAAAAAAAAACGAAACAAAAGACAAGAGACAAAACAACAAAATGGAAAAAATATAATTACAAGAAACAGAAGACCTTAAAGAAAGAAAGAAAGAAAGAAAGAAAGAAAGAAAGAAAGAAAGAAAGAAAGAAAAAAGGGGAAGAAGAAAAGATTAAAAGAAAGCAGGAAGTAAAGAATAAAAAGTTAGTTAAGAAAATAAAAAAGGCAAAGAAAAGAGAGAAAAAAAATAAATGAAAGAGAAAACATTAAGACAAGACGAACGAAATAAATAAAGAAACAAACAAACAAACTAAAAGGACGAATGATTAAGAGGAAAACTCTGAAATGAAAAAGGAAAATAATCTATTAAAAAAATAATAAAAGAATAAAAGAAATGACTGACACTAAAAAATTAATGGCTGTAAAAAGTTTATTTTCTTTGAAGTAATAAAAAATGAATGATAAACAATCACCATTTAAATATTTGATTGTTCTTCAATTAGAATGTCATGTTTGCTCCGATTCAAAAACAATCATTCGTAGCCGAATTTGATATTGTAACATTATAGTCATATATGCGTAAGTTTTATGATTAAGATTTTCTGTGTTGGTAACCGTTTTTCAAATTCGACAGCTCACCTTATCTCATCATCATTTTTAATATAAATACTGTCCACACCATCGTTGGCAGGATTGGATTACCCTATTGGCTAGTGTAGGCTGAAGCCTAGGGCCACCCAAACTTGTTTATAATAAATCTATTTTTGTTTTTGTCATGTTTTGCATATCTCTCTGCATAGTAGTAGTCGTATTACAGTTCTCCGTGTCCTGAATAGCAACTGGGATTACAAGGTATAGCCACCCCATGCTCGCCAATTGTTCTCTATTTATACTTGTCTATCTAATTTGCATACAATACTACATGCATATACACGCTTTATGATTAAGATTAGAAATTTTTAAAAAAGTGCATCCATTTTGTAACTAATTTAAAAAAAGACCCCTAACAAATGACCCCCCGTCGTGCTGTTCGAAATACAATATATTTCTGATATACCACATATAACTACTTACCTGGCAGCTGTTCTCCGGCTCTGTTGCTGGTAGTATCAGTGCTATGACTAGCTTAGACCAGCTCTGAGCATCTTGGACAAGCTATGACCAGCTAAGACCAGCTAAGACCAGCTTAGACCAGTGGCCCGAGTGGAAACACACGGGTTCCCCATGTTAAAACCGACCTTGTGTCACATCCTGACTCAGTGGGGCGTCAAGTAAATATTTATTTAAATGTCTGATATCATGGAGGTGAGAAGATTCGCCAATGCTGAAAAATCCCTACGCGAAGAAAAAGGAAAAATAAAGATTTCAAAACAGTATCAAAATGAAACAAACTTCGGTGATTTGATCGACTCAGTGGACGGTCGCACTCAACTCTTAAATTTGTCCAAGTTTTTATTTGATATATGAAAAGTAATTTCGCTGAACATAGCAAATTGCTTCAAAAACGAAACATTAACCTGAAAACTCGATTCATTTTCTTAAATAGCCTCATCAGGTCAAGACTTTCATACGGATGTCATGCATAGCATCAGACCCGTTCAGAAATATCTAAACTATCAGCTGTATACAACCGCTTTCTAAGATCAATGGTTAAAAATGGCTTTGAGCGAGTGATACGCTTGGGTCTTGGTGAAGACCATCCGGCTTCGAACCATGTGAACTGGCGCTACACAATCACAATCAAAGAAATGTACCAGATATCAGAAACCACATCTCTTGAGGACTTTCAGCATCACTAACAACTAAAACGGATATCACAGAGAAGAGAAAATACGCACATAATCATTGATGTTGATATTATGTAATACTTCAAATAAAAGGTTAAGAAGGAAACTCCAATCGATACTGAAAAGAGCGATAACAGCTACTGGTTTTGAAAAACCTATTTTCCTGAAATATTGTTTTAAGAGAAAGATTTTATAAGTTTCCACTGACAGTAGTACTGGCTGCACGGTCAATGGATGATGAATGTTTCCTTATAAGGAAACGGTTAATGTTATTACCCTCAGAGATGAGGTGAAAAGATACTATAATTTAATTCCAATCATATGGCCTGGGAATGAACAAAAGCATAATGCGAGTCACACTGGCTGCTCGGTCAATAAATGCCGAATGTTTCCTTATGAGAAAACTGCTAATATTAGTATCAAAGATGAGGAGAACAGATACTACACTTTGATCCCAGCTTTTTGGCCAAGGAATGAACATCAGCGTAACTGGTGTAGCACTGGTTGCTTCGTCAATGAATAGCAAATGTTTCCTTATGGGGAGACGGCTAAAATTACCATTACAAATGAGAACATATACTACATTTTGATCCCAGCTTGATGACCAAGGAAGGAAAACAGCTGTAATTTGATTAGCACTAGTTGTTTGGCCAGTGAATCCCATATGCTTCTTTCTAAGTGGAGTATTCTCCTTTATTCCGGAGTTAAGCGCAAACGTGTATAATAGCATTTAGTGAATGTTTTGCATCAAGTGCGTCTTTTTTTTCTCTTAAAGAAGTGAAATCTTGATATTATGATTGTTGCTATCTTCCAGAAATAACCACACACACACACACACACACACACACACACACATATATATATATATATATATATATATATATATATATATATATATATATATATAATAACTGGCCACTCGTATTTGAGGATACCCGTCTAGTGGGGTGGCTAGCCTATCCCTAATGCAGACGCTCGCTCAGGCACATTTATGATTGTTCAACACCCACAGAGCCCACCTGTTATTTATACTGCAACTATGCTAAGCAGACCTTAGTTACGGGGAGAGAGCGTGTTATTTAGCATGATCAACAATCTGAAGAAGGCCAGCACACTCAAACCCTCGGTCACGATGACTTGTGACTTCATGCTAGCACAGCTATCGACGGCCCCCATGTTTTCCGTATGCCCAATTTCACTTAACCCGAGTTATGGTTTTCGGGCATTTTCCAAAGTCGCCGCTTGCCGGAATCCACCTCGATCCAGTCCGATTACATCATGAAGTCTCTTTCCTGCCAAATCGACCATGGTGAGATTCGAACCCGGTTCTCATATGACTGGGACAAGTAAGTGTCGTCCGACAGGAATTGAACCTGTATCTACACAGAACCGTCTTAAGGCCTGACGTGCTATCTTATTTATTAAGGTGGGATTACTACATTTAAACTACAAATTTCCCATGATTTTTCTCGAACGCTCCTATTAAAAGCACTACGTTTCTTCTGTAACTAAATAGTGTAACACGTCAGGTTATACTACGTCGGTTCTGTGTAGGATACATGTTCGATTTTCATATATATATATATATATATATATATATATATATATATATATGTTGTTGTGGATTCCGGGTTGAAATCCGGTACCAATAAATAACAAACTCCAGGAATTAATATATGAAAATAATGTATTAACGTAATAATACAAACTAGTAAAGTAGGTTAGTAGTTCCAGGAATACGTGTTAGTAGCCAAATATATATACAGTCTTTGGTATTGAAATATCGCTGTATGACTTAGTGAATCTACGTGCTCGCTCACTGTGACTCCTACAATGCTGTTACCTCACCCCCTCACTCTTCCGGTTACCTACAACCTTTTACTCTGTCACTCTGGACTCGACTCGACTCTTCTGGCTTGCTCGCTCAGGTTTTCACGTACACACACACACACACACACACACATATATATATATATATATATATATATATATATATATATATATATATATATATATATATATTTATGTGCATAATATCATGGATAAATTGTGTTTAAATATTAGAATGGACACCAGTACCTCCATAAAACAACAAATGCTAAACTAAACCCTGTCTGCGTGAAAAAATACCTATAATTACTTTCCACCACCAGCACAAACTACATAATAAATGATCTGAAGTTATCTCAAATTGCAGAAACTAAAATATTTTTACCATGTTACGTAAAAACGAATACGTTGTAAAACATTCACCAAGAAAAA